AGAGAGAAGTTTCTGGAGGTGCAAATGGTTAAGTGCTGGACTATTAGCCGAAAGCTTGGTAATTTGAATCCACTGAGAGGTACCTTGGGAGAAAAGCCTAGTGATCTGTTTCCAAAAGGTCACAGCCTTGCAAACCCTACAGGTCTGCTCTGCACACGTGGGGTTACCATGAATCAGAACAACCACCTCCAACAATGTGTGTGTGTATGGCATGTGGAACATGTTTCACCGTGTTTCCAGATTAAGTTTAGCAAGAAAGGCCTGGCAATCTATCTCTGAAAATCAGTGAATTAAAAACCCTATGGACCACAATGGTACGATCCCGTTATGCATGGGATCACGAGTTGGGGGCAACTCAGTGGCAACTAACAACAACAAATATGTGTACATACATACATATACATGGAGCTCTGGTGGTGTAGTGGATAAGCCATTGGGCTGCTAACCAGAAAGTCAGAGCTCCAAACCCACCAGTTGCTCTGTGGAAGGAAGATGGGACAATATATTTCCATAAAGATTTACAGCTTCTCAGAAACCCAATGAAGTTGCTATGAGTCCAAATTGATCCAATAGCAGCAGGGTTTATGTATACATAGCTGTGATGAGTGCTTCAGATAAGCAGTTTACTCAACACTTCTTTCCTTAAGGAGCTTATAATAAAATTAGGTGGTGGGATCTGTACGTTGAAAGATAAACCATAAGATGTCTGCTGGCAAGTGTTCAACCACAAGTTCTACAGAGAATCAAAGAGATTCCCTCTGTGTTCAAATTGGAACCATCTTTGGCGGTGGAGAGGGTTCCTCCCCTCACCCCCAGGCAGAACTGCTAATGTTTTAATTTTCTTGAGTTAGATCTTGGATTGGCCCCTCTCCAGCTTTAGGGATATTAACCTGCCTTTATGGAACAGTGCCTAACGCATTTGACTGCTAACCAGAAGGCTGGCGGTTCAAACCCACGAGCCACTCCTCAGAATGACCACTGAGTAATCTATTTCCGTAGAGACACCGCCTCTGAAACCCAAGGAAGGGTCGCTATGAGTCGGATCTGACTCAACAGCAGTGAGTTTTATTTATTTATTTATTTTTAACTCTGTTCATGTGAGCACCTTCAATACAATTCATGCTTGGGATTTTCTCTGGCACGTTTTCTTCAGGTAAAATCAGGGAGCTGTTCAGCAAGGACACTATCGACAACACAACTGTGCTGGTGCTGGTGAATGCTGTGTACTTCAAGGCCAAGTGGGAGAACTATTTCGACTTTGAAAACACAGTGGATGCACCTTTCTTTCTAAATGAGGTACTATGCTGGAAAACGTGATTTTGTAGATACTGCACTAAATTGGGCTCTGTACACTGAAATCTAAACTTAGTTCTCTGGGTGACAGCTTCCATATATAATTAAGAACCTAAAGTTCATGAACATTTTGTACCAGGTACCATACAATTTTCTAGCATCATGCAACTTCCAAGCCATCATAGTGCAACACCATGTGAGATGGGTGGTGGCTTGACAAAGTAAGGCCAAGTAATCAGTGGGGATGAAACTCTCCCAGGTTGGGTCTGTGGTGTGGCTCAGGACTTCTTATCCAGGATCTTTGCATCTTAAAGAAGTCCTGTCCTTAGGGTATTTGGGCCCAGGGATAAGGCTTTGTGAGTTTGTGAGCTTATCATGGCAATCCTGTGACCCCTATGTGTCCACTTCAGAATGAAAAGAAGAGTGTCAAGATGATGAACCAAAAGGGTCTATTTAGAATTGGCTTCATTGAGGACCTCCAAGCCCAGATCCTTGAAATGAGATACACTAAGGGGAAACTCAGCATGTTCGTCCTACTGCCATCTTCCTCATCAGACAACGTGAAGGGTCTGGAAGAGGTAACTATTTTCATGTCTCTGCCAAATAGTTTATCATAGATCTTTGGAGTACAACCAAAGTGCCTACCACCCATGGCTCTGAGGAAGGTTGAGCTATCAGAGATACACAGGAATACAGAAATGAGAAACCAGTTGTCATCAGGTCAGCTCCAACTCGTGGCGACTGCATATGTGTTGAGGTAGAACTGTGCCCTGTAAGGTTTCCAACAGCTGATTTTTCAGAAGTAGATTCCTAGGTCTTTCTTTCAAGTGACCTCTGGGTGGACTCAAACCTCCAACCTTTCGGTTACCAGCCAAGCATGTCAACCCTGTTTGCACTTCCTGAACTTGATGAGCCTTTTACTCCTCATTTGTTTAGACCTAAAGAACAAATGCCAAAACAGATGTTTGAACAGGAGTTTTTAGTCTAACTTTAAAGCTCTGTGCCACTTTTTCCCCCAGACCAAACTAGCTTTTCCTTTAGTTCTTTGCTATAATTCAGTTAAAGACCCTTTAGCTGAATTTCTTTTCTTTTGGAGGTATGTCTATGCTTTCACAGAAGTGAAGATGCTGATACTGGGTAGATTATTTGTGAGGTAGAAATTAATGAAGGCCAAGGAAGCCCAGTGATTATAACAATGACAGTACCATTATGTGAGAACGCTATGTTAAGTATATTATGTATATTATTTTATTTAATTCTAACAAGAATCTAATCATATTATCTTTGTTTTATGAAACAGGAAATTGAATTTAAAATGTTAAGGTGAAACTCACCCTACTAATTAATTGAACTTTGCTGGGCATGGCACACTAGTCTGTCTGCATTTAAAGCACACTAGAATGGGAACTCTGGTGGCATAGTGCCTAAGGCATTTGACTGCTAACCAGAAGGCTGGCAATTCAAACCCACCAGCCACTCCTCAGAAGGAAGGCTGGGCAATCTACTTCTGTAGTGATACCACCTTGGAAACGCAAGGAGGAGTCGCTATGAGTCAGATCTGACTGGACGGCAGTGAGTTTGTTTTTTTTTAGAACCCCAGTTGTTCTATAACTTCTTGAAAGAGGAAAGGGATTTGCTTGGAGGAGTTTTAAGTGGAATTATTTTCAGGTTGAGGGAAAGACTTGAAGTTTGTTACTGAAAGTTGAAATTGACTCAGATGCTTTGAAGTAATTGGGGGCATTATTTGCAGGCCTATAATCTGACTCTGTTGTGAGATGCCAACATGTTATTTCTGACTCATAGTGATCCTTGTCTAACAGATTGAAACATTGATTGGTCCCTCATCATCCTCACAATCATCACTCTGGTTGAGCCCATTGTTACACACACTGTCTCAATCCATCTTGTTGAGGGTCTTCCTCTTTTTCACAGACACTTCCCTTTACCAAGCATGATGTCATTCTCCAGGGACTAGTCCCTTGTGATAACATATCCAAAGTATGTGAGCTGAAGTATCACCATCCTTGTTTCTAAGGAACTTTCTGGCTGTACTTCTTCCCGTACAGATCTGTTCATACTTCTGGCAGTCTATGGTATATGCGGTGTTCTTCACCAACACCATAATTCAAAGACATCAATTTTCCTTTTGTTTTATTTATTCATTGTTTGGATTTCATATGCATATGAGATGGTTGAAAATGTCATGGCTTGGGTCAGGTGCATCTTAGTCCTCAAAGTGACATTTTGCTCTTCAACACTATAAAGAGGTCTTTTGCACCAAACCTGACTCTACATATTATTTTTTCCCTTGTAGCTTGAAAGGAAAATGACCTATGAAAAAATAATGTCCTGGACTACCTCTGAAAATATGTCAGAAGAAGCAGTAGCTCTCTCCTTCCCCCAGTTCACACTGGAAGACAGCTATGATCTCAATTCTATTCTACAAGACATGGGCATTGTGGATATCTTTGATGAAACCAAGGCTGATCTTACAGGAATCTCTCCCAGCCCTAATTTATACCTGTCAAAGATTGTCCACAAGACAGTTTTGGAGGTCAATGAAGATGGCACCCAGGCATATGCAGCCAGTGGCGCTGTTAGCATGGCAAGATCAAGGCCATCCTATGTGACATTTAATGCCAACCACCCTTTTCTCTTTTTCATCAGGCACAAAAAAACCCAAACCCTTCTCTTTTATGGCAAGGTCTACTGTCCTTGAAAGGGACACATCTCATACTCGAGAGTTAGAAGAATATGGCAATACACTCTCCCCCTGAAATAGAACAGGTACTTGCACTATTGCTGATACATAAAGCTGACTGTAACTGTCTTCACAGCTCCATACCCCCTCCAGTCCTCAGAGGTGCTTGTCCTTATCTTTCCCTCACCCTATAGCTACTTCTCATACTAGTCAATTGGTACCGAAGTCTCCTTCTTCTTTCCCTAAATTCTTTACTACCCTAAACTTTCAAACGTACAGATTCACCCTATCTGGCTTGAAGGTCAACCCAATTCAGAAGGATATTGATTTTATTTAAGTTACTTATATCTGAAGGTTGGGCAATCCTACTTCCATAGTGATACTGCCTCGGAAACCCAAGGAGGGGTCACTATGAGTTGGGGCCAACTCCACGGCACATAACAACAACAACAATATCTTTATTAAGGAATCCTGAAAGTTCAAGCCATTGTGTCACTTCTAAGAGATGGTAAGATCAGAAACCAGTTTAATATAGGCAGCAGGAAGAAATGTTTAAATGCAAGGTGGTTTGGAAACCCAACTCCATTTCTACAGCAGTTGTGATGGAGGTAAGACACCTGCCTTTTCCTCTTATGTCTCCTTCAATTGCATGGAAGATGTCCTGGGAGGAGATGTCCTATGAGGAGAAAATAGATAGACAATAGGGGTTGGGGAAGAATTTAAGTGACAATTGGAGGGTCTAAGAATGCCCTTCCCAGCCCTCATTTTTCATAGATCATGAGAATGACACTTGTCTTGTGAACTTGACATTGGCCCAAGAGTGGCAGGTATGTTTAAAAAAGGCTGGTCTCAGTTTTCCTTATTGAATTCCATAGAACAGCACAATCAGGCACTCCCCTCTCTTGTCTTCATCCCCTTCCTTAGAGCATTCCCATATGCAGTTACCTGCTGAGGATGGGGAGAGAAGCCTTCCTTCCATATGGACTTTTGGGCTCCCACTGCCCTCTGTCTGCACTCTGGCCACATGATTCTGCTTGGAGACCACATGGCTGACTCAATCTTGAGAGTAGCCTGGGCCTGGGCTTCAGGCATGTGAGACCATTGTCAAGAGGACCATTGGCTCCATGTCAAACTCATCTTGCCCTCAGATCCTGAGCTGCTATTCCTTTTACCAACTGAGTACCTGGCTCCTGAGTGTTCAGACTCCTGGGCCTGGGACCTGGGTTCTCTGATATGGAATCTGGATTCTTGATCTCTGCTTTAGCTGAATGCTCCGGAATGACCACTGACATGGCTAACTCAAGAAGTTGGTCAGTCTCTGTTCCATCGAGGTGAATTTCTGGTTCTGGTTCTAACACAGTTTCCCTGCCCTGCCCTGGGACTGTGCTCCTTCCAATTGCCACTGAGTTGATTATGTGTGGCTTTAACTCTTTTTTTTTTTTTTTTTTTGGTAGGGGAGAAAGTTGGCTAACTCCACTTGCTCTCATGCTGACCACTGTCCCCTATTCTCCCATGTATGAGCTATTTCTTTGTGTTGTGAGAGACACGGTCCATGCTCTTCATGCTAAAACTCACTTGGGTATGAAACAACTTTTTCTTGGTAACGTGAGCTGGTTGAAGGCAATTCTTTGAAGTCTTTTCCCCAGAATGCATGTCCCATGGATCAAAGTTATGTCAAATAATGAAATCCTTAGTCTTCCCCATGGCTCCCTTTGGGGTTGATATATTGGGGTTGAGTTCATGCCTGACCTTGGCATCACTGTTGGATACTGAGCTGGGTGATCCGATGTCTAGTTTTTAAATGTCTTTTTCAATCCCTTGATAAACACATTTTCTCTTTTATATTGGGATATCCCAGAATCAGAATCATGGGGGGGGGGTGGAATTTCTATTTAAATAATGAGAAAGAGTGAGATTCTTAAATCTTTCTGTAAATCATAACCTCACATTATTTACCTAACCTTTTATTGATTAAAATATTTCTATGTAGTGAATAAAGCACTTCGTTATTAGTTAAAAATGCACAATATGTTGCCAATTGACTTTTGCTTTTTTTAATTTATTTTTTAAAATTTTCTTTTTTTATTGTGATTTGGGTGAAGATTTACAGAGGGAATTCACTTTCCATACAGCAGTTCACATATACTTTGTCTCATGTCATTGACCACAGTTTACAATGCAACAGCTCCCTTCCCA